TCAATGAGCTGATTGCTTTAGTCATTTACTAAAATGGCAAGAATTGGAACAAATGAAAGCAAAAACTCTTACCAGTGGGCTAAATACCACAAAGAGCCAAGACCAGAATTTACAAGATGATGCTTTAGTGCATTGTCTCTGAAAATTAAAGTATGCATGTTCTCCCTGCCCCCCAGTCTTTTGTTCCCTCTTGTTATCTCTCCCCCCCCCCCCCCTCCCCCCCCCCCCCCCCCGCACACACACATGCATGCAAACACACACACAAATTCCTTACTCAGTCCTAATGCCCCATGTCCCACTCTGTTAATTCCAGGGTAGGAAAATAGACTGTTTTGGGATCACAGAAATGATCACATGGCAGAGAAATGACTGTCAGACCCAATATGATGAAAAACCTGGCTGGAGCTATTACAAGGCAGAAAGCCAAGGCAGGCCTTATCAGTTGTTGATTCCTGGCACTAGTCCAAGTGGCGAACACTCCCTGGGCACAAGCAGCTTCTCTACCATCTGACTTTGGCTGCTTCTGTTAATCAACAAAAGTGAATCTGAAATATATTTGCCTTAACCATTCTAATGAATTTATTCTACACAAAAGAAAACCTATTCTTTTGCACAATTTCTACAACATGCTGTATTTTTAATGAGAAATCAAAGGAATCTGATTCTTTTAAATGTGTCAGGGATATTTATTCTTTAGAAAAAAGTGAAGATTACAGATCTCAAATCTAAAGTGTCTAAAAATCTGCATGTGTTTCTTCCTACCTAATCAGGAAAAGAATGTGCATAGGATGGAGAATATCATAGCAGAATCTATGTAAAATATTCAAAATGCAGATATTTTGTGTTAAAAAAATCATCACTTAGGGCAGATCAAACCATGTGAAAATACTGATATATACCATGTGTCTTAAAAGTATGAGACTTGGAGTCAGAACTTGCTTTCAGTCCTAACTGCATTATTTACCACTTTGCGTAAGTTCCTTAAGTCTGCAGTCCCCAAATCCCAGGCGAGGCCAGGTACCTGTCTGTGGCCTGTTAGGAAACAGGCTGCACATCACTGGCTGAGCTCCGCACCCCCATGCCCCACCTACCCCCACCCTGGTCTGTGGAAAAATTGTCTTCCATGAAACCAATCCCTGGCACCAGAAAGGTTGGGGACTGCTGCCTTAAACTCTCTGCCTCCACAATTTCAATATCTGTACAAGGCAGGGGATGAAATCAGCTTCCTAGGGTTGTTGCTATGCCAGGCAGTCTGCCAGGTGTAGGGTATCTCAACTGACACCCCACCAGTAAAGGGCAAGGGAACCTGCAGACATTTTGGGAAACCAAAGCTTCTTTCTCCTCTCTTCCCACAGTTTGTCTGGCCCAGGTTTTGCTTTCCTTTAATTAAGCCTAAAGAACTACCCAGAGCAAGAGGAATAGAAAAGCAATACTCCTTCAAAAGGAAAAAATCAAACAATCTATCTGTGAGATAATTTCTACAACCTACAGTTATCTGCAATGTTGCGTATTTTATTTTCCTATTCTTTTCTTTTCCTTCTTTCTTTCTTTTTTTCTTTCATTTTCTTCCTCTCTTTCATTTTGTCTGGCTTTCACAAGAATAACAGGATTATTTTACATTTGTCTACTGCTAAAACAAGACAAAACAAAACAAAAACCCTACTCAATTGTTCTTTAATCTGAACTGTTCTTTGTTCAATCTTGCAAACAAGACTTGCACTTTTGCCAGGGCTCATAAAACATGCGTTTAAATTCTTATTCTCACCTCCACCCCTGTTCCCTACCTAGCCTAACTCTACCACCATGACCCCTCTCCCCACTCAGAAGATCTCGATGCTTTCAGTGACTATGTTAGCCCAGCCTGGCTTTGTGCAGACACACTGGTCTGAGTGAGCAGTGATTACAAGAAAGAGGAGGCAGGCAGGTGTCTAGTCTCACTTCGTCTTCACAACAATGTTGCACTGCAGTTATTATTTTATTCACTTTACAGATGAGGAATCTGTGGCCAAGAGACATGGAATAGCTTTCCCAAAGCTCCATGTCTGTCTCCCTTCTGGAATGCCCAACAGCCAAAACGGTCTCTGTAGAGGATAACTCATGTCATGACACTCCCATGCTTGAAACTCTCCAGTGGCTTTACATTAACACTTTCAGGAAAGTCCAGGCTCCTTTTCAAAGCCTGCAAGGCCCATCATTATCTGGTCCCTGACTTCTTCTCCAATCCAGCCAGGTTTGTGCCCATCTTGAGACCTTTGCCCTTGCCACTCCCTCTGCCTGGAATCCTTTCCCCCAGACCCTCCCATGGATGACTCTTTCTTGCCATTCCATCCACTCTTTCACAAGGGCTTCCCTGACCACCCAGTCTATAACAGCTCCTCACCTAGTTCCAACCCTGTTTTATCTTCTTCATTGCACTTACCACTCTTCTGAAATCTAATTATTTGTTCTATTAGGTTACTGATTTGATGTCTAAGCTGCCTAAGGATAGAGGCCTTTTGGTCTTGCCATTACTATATCTCCAGTGTCTAGCATAATGTCCTACAATAGTAAGTGCTTAATGATTATTTATTAAATGAATGTGAGTTGTCTTAATCCATTTTGTGCTGCTATAAAAACCACAGACTGGGTAACTGTTAGTGAACAGAAATGTATTGGTTCATAGTTCTGAAGGCTGGGAAATCCAATATCAAGGTAGCAAGATCTTGTGAGGGCCTACTGGCTGCATTATTTTGTTAATGGAAAAGAACCCAAACTCTGTAAAAATAATTTAAAAAGGCTTATTCTGAGTCAAATATGCGTTACTATGGCTTGGAGAGCCACATACAAGAAGACTTGAGCAATGGTCTAGCCATGGTTGGGTTATAGTTTGGTTTTGTATATTTCAGGGAGATAGGGATTACACATAAAGTCATAAATCAATACATGTAAGTTGTACATTATTTGGCCCCCCCAAAATCAGGTCATTATAGGTTGTAAGTGAGTTTAAAGATTCTTTGATTTGTAATTGGTTAAAAAAAGACGAAGCTTTGTCTAAAGACTTGGAATGTTTTAAGATAAGGAAGTCTGTTAATCAGAGACAAACCACCAGACATATACACAGATTCAAGTGATCTGTTAAGTAAATTGAGGACCTACAGGTGTGGTTTAAGCTTTGTCTTGCATAGCCTTAGGCCTGTAAATGAGTTACAAAGGATATCGCCAAGAAAGGGAGGGTGGGAAATGACAAGGCATGTCTGGCTTCCCTTCTCATGGCCAGCAACTCAGCTTTAGGATATTTCTGGGGTCCCCTTGACCAACAGGGGACTATTCAGTCAGCTGGGAGGGGGGCTTAAGATTTTTTTTTAGTTCACAATTTCATGACAGAAGGACAGAGAGAGAGAGAGCGAGAAAGAGCAAGAGGAGCCAAACTTACCTTTATATAATACCATTAATCCATTCATGAGGATGAAGCCCTTGTGATCTAAATACTTCCCATTAGTCCCCACCTACCAACACTGTTGTATTGATGATTAAGTTTCCAATACATGGGTTTTGGAGGGGACAAAACATTCAAACCATAGCAGCATCATTTAAGAGAAGTCAGTTTAGGTTGCCCCAGAGTTCTAAGTTTGGCTCTTAGTGAGCTTGGCATCCTACCTTAATAGGAACCACCCAAACAAGAGCCCAAACTCTAAAACCTAATGCTAAAATATAATTCTTTAAAAAGTTAAAAACATCACTCACTCTCAAACAAATGTAAAATAAACACGAGTCAAAGACTTTATTTAACTCATTAATTAGTGAGGAAGCCAGTAAGATGTTAAAATCAATTCAAATGAGAATTTGAAGAGCAGAGACATGTTGGTAATTGGTAATGCTGACATAAATTTGCTTATAGGTATGAACCTAATTAATATACTATCAGATTTAAAAATGTAATGTTGGGGATCATTTTTTTTCTGGAGAATAGGAATTGTTTGAGGGAGAATTGGAGGGAGACACCCTCAGGAGATGACTCTAATATTGAGCAATGCAATTTCAGAGTAAGCCTGATATTTGACTTATATAAAGCTCAGGCAGTAAATTCAGTGTTTTTTCTGGTCATTTAACTAGAAGATAGATCTATGTCTGATATGCCACTTTTATCACTTTCCTAATTCTTGCTAAAGGTTGACTCCTTTCAGAAAGTTATATTCTTTGTCACTAAATACTGAAAGAAGGGTTGCAGGGTCCACCACAGCTGTGTATTTGTTAGTAATCCCAGCCCAGCTCCAGAGTAAGTGAAATATAAATTTAGGTGGAGAGAAGCTAATGATTATTCTAATATTGTTCCCAAGGGAAGGAAATAGAGACTTGTGTCTTGAGAATGGTATCTGCTTTAGGGGGAACTAAGAGACTCCAGACCAGAAAAGTAAAATCCTAGGTGGAGTCATACAAGGAGAACTTTTTAGGGAATTGTTGAAGCAGGGGTAGTGAAGAGGGATTGACTCTAAAAGCTGGGTGTATGGAGAAGGGTGGGAAAATTTCAATGTAATCCTGAAGAGTTAGGACTTAGATAGTACAAAAGGCAAATACAAATTAAAAATATGAGTCTTCATTCTCCCTGTTGAACATAAGGGTAGATAATTTCCCTCTCCTCCTGCCTTTTCTTTCAGCATTTCTTTCTCCATTCTTTACAAATGTATGAAAATATTTAAAATGGTCAAATAAGCTTCTTACCAGTCTCACAACCCAGGAAAGTTTCCTCAAGGACCTGAATGTTGTCTCTTTGAAATCTAATCATCAAGAAAGGTAAAGCCCCATCTCCCAGTGTCCTGGGAAAAGATAGGCCTAACTTGTCACTGGCCTGCAAATTGCAAAATCTATCTAATGTATCCTCCACTAGACTATAGTAAAAGAGTGATATTTCTTTGTGTATTTTCAATCACTTTAGTAGGTAACCTCTGATGCATATCACATTCTGGTTTCATATTTTTTGATAATAGAATTGCTTTCTTTCTCTCTTTCCTTTATAGAGATTTTTTCTGGATTTGGAGAGATTTTATTTTTAATTATATTTCTCCTAACAATGGCATAAAACCCAGAGAAAGAGATGAAATTCAGATCCAACAGAAAGGTTAGTACTTTCCCAAAGGCCAAAAAACCTAAAAATTAGCTCAGATTGTGACCAGAAAGTACAACAACATGGATAAGGATGCTGAAGGAAAAAATAGCATGGTAATTTTACTCCTATACATAGTAACATGTATAGGAGGCCATTGATTTGGCCTGAGCCCCTGCACTAGACCCAAAAGAACAAGCCAAAATGGAGTCACTCATGCTAAACTTCCACATCACCAAACCTAAACTAAGTTGTTTATCTGACCTTCCAAGAAATCAAATGAGTGAGAGACAATAGGCAAATAGGCTATCGGGACAAACCAGATTTAGCCAGCATGAGAAGGAAATTCCCTCTGCTTTAATCTTTGCAAGTGAGAAATAAAAGTAAAATTCTAAGCCCCATAACTGACTGAACAGACCCTCTCTCGGCCAAGAGGATACCAGAGAAACCTTAAAAACTGAGTTCCCAGCTCTGATGGGACAGGAGGTTAGACATGCCTCATTATACCCCCTCCCTCCCTTGCTAACTACCGTGTTTCCCGGAAAATAAGACCTGCCCATAAAATAAGCCCCAGCAGGATTTCTAAGCATTTGCACAATATAAGCCCTACTCTGAAAATAAGACATAGTGATGGGCATGGCTATGCAGCCTATCTGCACAACCCATGCATTTCATCACGGAGCAGTAAAGAAGATGAGCAGTCCTCATCTGCCCCATGAGAGCTCTATTGCTTGACATGAGAGATTGGGGCCAATGGTTCTAAAGGAAATAGAGTCACAAGAAATTCAGGCTGGAATTCGGGGTTTGGAGAGTTATGATGATGTTCCAGAAGAAGATGACTTAACTATATTTGAATAAATGTAGATTGTTGTATCATACTTAAAAAAAATAACACATTCCCTGAAAATAAGCCCTTGGGTGTCTTCTTGAGGAAAAATAAATATAAGACCCTGTCTTATTTTTGGGGAAACACGGTACCATTAGGCTTTCTTTCCTAAGAGTTAAACAGAAATCAGCCCCTTTGAAAGACTCACTCCACCACTGATTTACGCAACAACTACCAGATTTCGTTCCAGATAAGAGACCACCAACCATGGACTGGTTCTGGTAGGTTTACAGAGGCTGCACACAGCTTCCATGCTACTGTGTCCTCTGTTTCTTTCACCTTTTGACATGTAGAGCCCTAATTATAATGCATTTAAATGTTAAGTCTCTACCTCAAAGTGAACATTGGACATATGTAACATGAGTGTTTGCTTCTACGCATGCATGCATCCCTTCTTTGTGACTATTCATAGCTCCTCCTATAACATGTTGAATATATATTCTTAGCTAACCCATTTGGCATAAATTCCTTTCTACCCTTCCCTCCCTGGAAGTGCCTGCTTCCAATTTCTGCTGGAGGCTACACTGCCCAGCCTGAGGTATGTCCAGCCTGCAGGCTAAAACCCTTTATAAAAAATAAAGCTCTCCTCTCCAAATTCATGAACCTGTGATTCTTCAATTGACAAAAGAAAAGTCATTATGAAATAAGCAATCGTCTTTTTGTTTTCTGTTTTTGCTTTCCTCAGCCTTTTTCTGTTTATAAAACTAATCTCCTCTGCTCAGCTCATTGGAACACTAATTCTATTTTAGAGAATAAGGGATTGCCCAATTTTAGAATCACAAATAAAAGCCAATTAGATCTTTAAACTGAATTTGTTGTAATTTTGTCTTTTGAGAGTAGTTAAAACCATGTTATCTTGGTCTTGGGTACTCTTAGGTTCAGGATCAAGTTTTATCACTTATTAGCTAGTTAAATTACTTTCCCTGGGGCCAGGCTCAGTGGCTCAAGCCTATAATCCTAGCACTCTGGGAGGCTGAGGCAGGAGGATTGCTTGAGCTCAGAAGTTTGAGCCCAGCCTGAGCCAGAGCGAGATCCCATCTCCACTAAAAATAGAAAGAAATTAGCCAGTGTCATGGCATGGGCATGTAGTTCCAGCTACTCAGAAGGCTGAGGCAGGAGGATTGCTTGAGCCCAGGAATGTGAGGTTGCAATGAGCTATGTTGATGCCACTGCACTCTACATGGTCAACAGAATGAGACTCTCTCATAATAATAAAAATATACTTTCTCTGAATCTCTGTTTTCATCTGTAAAATAAGAGTAAATAGCACCTACCATAAAGAGATTTCATGAGGATAAGGTAATTCAAAGTACTTAGGACATGCTTACTGCATAGGCTGAGTTTAGTAATTCTTACCTATTCATAACATATAATCCTTTTCTATTTGTAACAACTTCTAAGAGTTATTGTAAAAATCCAAGTTATGTTTAAATTATTTTGAACTATCATTAGAAATTAATGGCCGTTGAACTGCAACAAAATGATCTGTACGTGGTTCTATGGGGGCTCAGGACACACCACCCTAAAATATGACTACAGGAGACCAGAAAATGCCAGCCCAAAATATGCCTCTTTGGAATATTTTATTGATTATTGATATTGATAATTGATTATCATGACCTAATTATTTTGAGAAACTGCAGACAAAGGAGTAGTTCTGAAAAGTTGTCCTTTTGTAAGGGAAATTTACATCTATGAAAGAAATATCTGTTCGAAAGGATGTCTCCTCTCTGCACCAGGAAGAGAAAAAGGACTAAATCGTGAGAGACTCTTACCAGTGGAGAAAGCATCAAATTAAATCTGCACAACAAACTTTACTTTTGCTTAGGGTGCTTTTTCTAGCTATCTCACCTTAAGTAGGACTTTTCCCATACCCTTTTTTCTTTGTTTCAGCAAAGAAATAATGGTATTTAAGCTTGAAGTTTAAACTTTCTTTGAGATCTACTCTAGAGATTTACTCATGTCTCTAGGTTTTTTCTCATGTATACTGGAGGTGTGTGTTAATAAACTCCTGTTTGTTTTTCTCTTGCTAATATGTCTTTTGTTACAGGGAATCCTGGTTAAGAACCATGAAAGGTAGAGAGGAAATTATTTTTCTTCTCCTATCGTTCCAAGATTACTTGACCCTGCAGTAATGCTCACTGAACCATAGCAGACGTAGTGCAAGGTTTAAGGGAGTTGCAGAGGATTATAGACTGGGATTCTGTAAGAATCACTTTTTAAAAAAAAATACTTGATTGATCCCCTGGATGGAGGCAGTAGGAAACTATTCATGCATTGCAAAATCTGCAAAAATAAATGAACAAACAAACAAAAAGGCCAGTTTTTAGTGACACTGGGCTCATGTTTGTCACATCCCTGTCTTTCCATGGTCCTGTGACAGATGTCAGGAGCACTTTGATCGTGGACTCTGGTATGGTGAGCATCACTCAGCGTCAGACCATCAACATCAGTAAGTAAGAACTTTTGACATGTGGGACCTCTGGGAGAGTATGTCTGTCTGTGGCATGAGACATTTCAGTGAGTTCCCAAATATTACTGACATTCCTAATAATTTCTGAAATAACAAGTTTTTTTCATATAAAACAGACATTATTTCTTGGAGCTCTCTCCAAAGGCAGTATTGGAAAAAGTTGACTGTGGAGTCATAGAAACCTCATTAGGGAATCAGAACACCCAGTGAAAATGCTCAGAACATTTGTCAGAGCTCCTAAGAGCTGATGAAAGAGACTTCTTGCTCTGGTGGGTTTCTCCACAGTCAAGAAGCCCTGGGACAAAGCTGGCTTTGTGAAGAGGCCATAGCCCTGGGGCTGGGTTGCCAGGATGACTTCCAGACACAGAAGTGAATGACTTCCAAGCCTGACCCCAGCTGGAAAAGTGGAACATACTAGAGAAAAAATCTAGTAGGAAGAAAAAGGCAGCTCATTAAGCTGCCCACCACATAAAACACAGATAGTTGTAGAGATAGGGAGAAAGTGTAGTTTCTCAGATTCAGGAATAGTGGTTTCAAATATGTTCAACAGGCAGGGTCTGATTCAAAGTTGGAGGACTGATCCTCCACTCCCAAGAATCCTGCAGGAAACATATGTGCCCAGATGTTACACACATCTGTTCTGACTAAATCAACACGTTAAGGGGGGGAATGAAATTTTAAGGCTTCTAAAATAGCACCAGTGGGTAGAAGAATTATTAAAAGGGGAATTTTTAAATGCCTGAGGTTGGAACTCTGAACTTTGAACTAAAAGAAGACCCAGTGCTTGCTACATGGTTCAATCTGTGTTGAACTATGAATTTTAATAGAATTCAATTTGATGATTAATACACTTTATTCTATGTCTCTTTAGCTATAGACTAAAAAGCAATAACCATTATTTTAGTCATGTATGTTGCAACTGATAAAGGGAAATTCATTTAAGGCAGCATTTGGAGAGCCTAGGCAAGTGTTCTCCATAACACTGAATTTGAAAATATTTTGTAATCAATGGCAAAAATTATTCACTACAGCCTAGAGTTATTATACCTGTGGCATGCTTTTTCTCCAACAGAATATAAATATGTAAATGCTCGTGATTGTGAATTGGCTTTTTCTATATTCTGATGGTACCTTACCACTATGTGAATTACCAAACGTCCAGTGCTAATTACTGTTGCTCATTACCAGATGTGTTTTCCAATTGATACAATGATGTGCTACAGAGCACATGACTCTTAAATGTACAAGGGCTTTGCAAACTCTTTTTAGAGAGTAACACAAGTCCTTTCACCAAAGTAGACATAGTAACAAACCATGAGTAGTTAGAATGTTAGTGCTGGCATTTAAATTAACTACTCAAGGGCATTATTGTTATAAAAATCACACTCTCTCCTGCTGTATTTTATTCATATTGCTGTCCTTTTACTTTATGAAAAGAATGTTTCCAGTAGGTTTTTCCCCCCATAAATCGTCCCTAGCCTTTTTACGTTTTAAAGCATTTTTTAAAATTTCTGAGTAGTGAGTGTTGCTAGTGAGGCTCTTAAGTAAAGATTAATGAAACTTCAAAGATATGTACCACTTGTTCTAGTCATTTGGAGACATACAACCTTTTTTTTTTTTTTTGATACAGAGTCTCACTCTGTTGCCCGGGCTAGAGTGCCGTGGCATCAGCCTAGTTCACAGCAACCTCAAACTCCTGGGCCCAGGCAATCCTTCTGCCTCAGCCTCTCAACTAGCTGGGACTACAGGCATGCACCACCATGCCCGGCTAATTTTTTCTATATTTTTTTTAGCTGTCCAATTAACTTCTTTCTATTTTTGGTAGAGACAGGGTCTCACTCTTGGTCAGTCTGGTCTCGAACTCCTGAGCTCAAACGATCCTCCCAGAGTGCTAGGATTACAGGCATGAGCCACCATGCCCGGCCCAACTTCTTAATTTGCAAGTATTTTGACTATTTTGGTCACATAGGCATTACTGTTAATTCATAAACATTTGAAACTATTACTCTATATTAATGTATTTGAAATGTCCAAACGATAGTAGGCACACTTTAGAGGAATCGCCAAAGCAATAATTGTCACTGTTACACCAATATTCAAAGTAGTCTAGTGACCCATAGCCCAGGTTTGGTTCCTAGTCAGGGAACCAGTTCCTGCAGATGTAACACTTACAAAAAAATCGGTTTGATATTTGTGCTATTCTTGATTTACGGGGATATTGATTTGTTACTGATCCTTTTCCCTTCCACGGGCAGCTTTTGATCTCCCGTCTCACTGACTGTCTAAAATTTATGCCTAAATTAAAATAATCTTCCATCTCTGGGTACATGGGGTGGTCAGCCTTTGTGTGAGGACCGTCAGCTGAGAAGTAGAGACCCCAGAAAATATGGTGGGACACAAATGTGGGTTGCATCCCATTTGCGGCTAGCGAAACTTTCCTTTCCTTGAGCTACCTTGAGGGTGGTTCTGGATCTTGTGAGGGCTGCCTTTGGTGTCTTTGGTTAAGTGATAACCTTGGTTGAGCCTTATTGGTATTGGTGACTCTCTTTGAAAGGTGACTTTGGTTTAAAAGAAAAGAAAAAGGAAATTCAAAAGCCAGAAATATTGGCTGTTTGTCCCAGGTAAAATCTGATAATAAGAGATTTAAAAATATTTTTTAAAAGAGCTCTATGGTCAGAAGTCAAAATAATTAAAAGCTTATATTCAGGAGATATATATTTTTTTAAGGCCTTTCTACTTTTTTTTTTTTAAGGCCTTTCTACTTTTTTGGATCCTGTTTCTGATAAATTTTTTCATTTGACTAAAACCCTTTTTAGTGACATGTTTGTTCCCTCTGTTTGCTTCCTTTCTTGTTGGTATGATTTTTGCTGGGAAAAAAATGTACAACTTCATTGGCCTTTTTAGAAAGCTTAAAATCTCTCCAAATTGGCTCCTTTGAGAATTGCTCTCCCATTTACCTCTAATCCTCCTTCCCCTTTACCATCTTCAGTACTACATGAAGGCATCCAGGAGGAGACTTCTGGCAACTCTGAGACCGCTGAAGGAACACAGAAAAAGGCACCATGAATCCCCTCTTCTGTTTTCCTTGTGGAGTTCTAAGAATCATGGGCATGTTTCTCTAAGGTCAAAAGCTCTACTCTCTCTTGCACTGAGTTCCCTGATCTCTTTGCAGTTAGGGGGTACCAGGGATTGCTTTGTACTGTGAGGGAGCACTTGACCTTTGTGTGTGCAATGGCTGGCAAGCAACTGGCAAGGACTGCAGTTTGGGAGCTGTCTGACAGGGATTGCAGTGACTACTCTTTTTCTTTTTGTGTACAGTTAAGAAAGGCATGGTTTGAACATTTGGAGGCTGTGCAACCACTCATCACTGAAGGATAAGACTCCCACGGGGGATGGGCTGATCACAGAGTAGCTAATTGGCCTTGGGTCACTCTCCAGCCTCAGGAGAATGTTTTTGCAGCAAGGTGTACTGTGGATGCATTGCAAGCCCCAATCTCATGACATTTCCCTCTTTTGGGAGGGTCTAGGATTCGCTTTTAAAATGGGATCCTTGATTACTGGGGATCTAGATGCTCTCTGCCTTCTAGCTGCACCTACTTTTCACATATAAAAGTACTAGGTCCCCCAAACTGCAAAGATATTGATGGCTGTATTCATTAATGGGATCTGCCCTGTACTCAGTGATCCAGTTGCAAAATGGAGACTAAATTAGAAGCTACCTACCTAAATGAAATTGGTTCTTCTAATAAAATCCTGGTGAATTCCTAGGATTTTGTGTTCCTTGGCATTCATTTTTAATCTTCCTCTAACATGCCCAAATTCTTCTTTAAAAAGCTAAAATTATCTTTCTGTATTTTTAAATGTAAATTTGCTAACCTGTTTACTCTAAAACTTGGTAAGGTCTTCAGCCATGTGGAACAGATGAACTTTAATTGTTCCATTTGCAAAGACATAGTCTGACACCAACTGTCCTTTTAAACTTTTAACTAGTGAATTTTTAAACTAGTGAATTTTACTTTTAAACTAGTGAATTCACTTTTAAACTAGTGAATTTTACTGGTCTCGTGACTAAAATTTTAAAATCAAAGCTAAAAGCTTTTTATTTGTGTTTGTTGGTATTTTTATGAATACATGATACACGTCGGTTTGTATATTGTCTACATGGTACCGAACTGACTTAAAATACATGAGTACTCATAAATTAAACAACTATCCCCAAAGCTTTTCAAGTTTATGTTACTTTAGTAATCTTTGACAAATAAAACTAGTTTTTAAATTGTTCATAAAATAAAACAGAAATGACTTCAGAATTTTAGACACTTTTGCCTGGGTCTACTGGTCAGATAAATGTGTACTATCCCTGATAGCTATTTTAAGGTCATAAAAGTGTTACTTTTGTGATATTTTTGATACTTGTGATTTGTCTGTGAGCTTCTGTCTTTGGTTTTGAGTCTTTAGATTCTCCCCATAGTGGCTATGGTGAGATCTAGGGACATATGTGTGTCCAAAGCATCCGCAGAGCAGATCCAAGGGCAGTATGGTCCTGTTCTCCCTAGCCCAGCTCTGCCTCTTGGCCATGCTGGGAGGAGTCAGGTTCTCCAAGCATTGTCTTCACCACTCTGTCCCCTGTGCTGGGCTCTGCATCTGATATACAGCAATTTAAATTGCTTACTTCCTAGGTTTTTTACTGGAAATTAGTATAATTGAGAGTTGTTATATTTTGTATGGCTCTCATACACATTAATACATTTATATGCCTTTTCTCCTATTAATCAGCCTTTTGTCAATTGATTTTTCAGCAAACTTTCAGAGGGCAAAGGGAAAGTTTTCCCTTGGCCTCTATCTTGGGTACCAGTAGTATAAGCTTGAAAACAAAAGCCAATAGAATGTCAGCTGGGTCTCATTCCTTTATGGTGAATTCTTGCAGGGAAGGGTTCATATCTTACTCATTAAAACTACACATAGCATTTCAGCAACCACAGGTAAAGATTTTTGGTTTGTGGTTGCAGTAGCTATTGCAGAAATTGACTGAAATAAAGAGGGTCATCTTGTGGGACACTCCCAAGTAGAATACTCTCCCCTAGCTCATTTTCTCCCCTTGACTCTCTGGGGTTACATTTGGTTGTCACAAACTGAGTTGTCAGAGGTGGTAGTGGAAAGGGACAGGAGTGGTAGATTTCTTCTTCAAAGGCCTGTCCCAGGCTCCATGGACTCTTCCCATTTCCAGCTCCAACATGTCAATTGTCTCCACAGTATAGAACCCTTGGTTCTTTCAAATGTGCAAAGCTTCTATTGCTTTATGTTAGTTTAAAAGAATATATGCCCTTGAGCAAATTAACATCTGTTTCTTCCCTCCCTTCTCCTGCCACACCTCCAAATCACATGCCCAACTAAACTATGCTTAATAATTAAAAAAAAATATATATATATATATATATATTCTCAGAACAATTTCTGTTGCATATATCCTTAAATTACTAATAGCAAATTACCCCAACATTTAGTGGTTTAAAACAATCACTTTTTAAGCCCAGGGATTCTATAGTTTTGAGAGCTCCTTAATAAGTTGACAGGACTTAGTGACAGGTTGTGTGGGTGAAATGATGAAAGGAAAGTGCAAAGGGAATTCTGAGTTTTCTGTCTTGTGTAGCTGGTGGGTGTGGTACCCTTGTCTGAGATCAAGCCTGCAGAGAAGGAATGGGTTGCATTCCTTCAACCCATTTGAAGTGCAAGGAAACAATGCAAAGGAAACAATGCAAAGGAGTGCAAAGGAAACAATGAATTTGTGTTGAGATATATGAAGAATGTACAGTCTTCCCTCAGTATATGCAGAAGGTTGGTTCCAGGACTACCTATGTATACCCAAATCTGCACGTATTTAAGTCCCACAGTTGGCCCTGCGGAACCCCTTGTATGTGAAAAGTCAGCCCTCCATACAGATGGGCTTCTCATGCCTCTCAATACCGTATTTTCCATCCATATTTGATTGAAAAAAATATTCAGATAAGTGGACCCACACAGTTTAAACCCATCTTGTTCAAGGGCCAATGGCATAAAACACACATATACAAACCCTGAAAGTCTGCATGTTATAGTGTTTGTATGCTCTAGACAGACAAAGCCATATAGCATGGATTTGAATCCTGGCTCTGCCAATTATTAGTTGAGCCATTTAAGGCTAAAGATTTATCTTTTTATTCTTATGTCCATTTTTACCTATAAAATGGACATAGTAACACCTGCCTCATAGCGTTGCTGTGAGGATTGATGAGCTGAAAACCACATAAAGCACTCAACAAAGTCTCTGGCATTTACTAAAGGAACAATAAATGTTAGCATTCTCCAGGATTAATTTTACGTACTTACTTTCCATCTGGAGAAAGTATCAGCAACAATAAAGGTTTTGAAACCATCTACCTGAATGTGGTCTAATTCCTATTTTCCACTGTAAATTTAAAGTTATTTTCAATGCAGTGCAGGGCGGAAATAGAGCTGCTGGCAGGCTCTTACTTCTAAGATTTTCTCTTTCCTATGTGGCTTTGAACTCAGTAAACTTATTTAAAATGGTTTCTAACCTTGATGCTGAAAATCAACTGGAGATAATGGATAAATTTTGAAGCAATGTAGATATTTTAGGATGTCAAGGGGCTTTGGAAAATGATGTAGTCTGACCTCTAATTTTTGGATGATGAAATTAAGACCCAAGAGGTTAAATGACTCATCTGAAACCAGACAACAGAGGCAGGGCTGGGGCTGAAATACAAGCGCCATGACACATGAGCTGCCTCTTTCTTCTTCGACATAGCAGACTCCAGCACAATAGTCCAAAACAGTGGTTTTTTTATGCAGAATTTTATGTATGTATAATGAACTCAACCCCCTCTTTAAAGATAAATACAAGTTAGAAATAGGAATGAGGGACCAAAGCAGGAGTTCAAATATCACTGTGTTCTTATAAATCCATTAAAATGATTCCTCTGAAAAATAGATGAATGATAATTTAATTAGCATTTTAAATTTTTTTAAATGTATGTTCTTAGCAAGGAATCTGACTATTTTCACACATGGGAATAGATTTTTCTTACACCCCTAAACTATGAGTTGCTATTTTTTGAGTTTTCTTTTGAAGACGTGGTGGTTTTTTTCCTCTGCAACAATTATTTAGTTAATGGTGTGTTCAAAATTATACATCCCAAAGAGATTATAGTTTAAGGAAATCTGGCTCAATTGATCAATGGAACGTTGAAGAGATAGTTATAGGACTTTTTATAATCAACCCAGATTTTGAAGATTGAGTTAAAAAGATCCAGGCATCATTTCTGGGCCAATTATGTTGTAACACTGGTATATAATTGTGTGGAACTAACAAAATCAGTTTTCTTGCTTAGATAGAAGGAAAGCCAGAAATATAGTTTATTTTTCCATGTTATCTTTTCTGATATAGGAAAGAGGAGATATAAAAAAAACGACAGGGAAAGATTGGAGAAAAAATTAAAATAACACTTCCTGATGTTGAGAGAAAGGGATATAATTTTTTAATATTAAAAAATATATTGGATAGATGTAACATTCCATAAAAGAGCCAATCTAAGGGAACTGGATTATGTTAAAATGATTTTGTTATCTCAAACACTTGGTATCCATAGCAACTGAAACATCTCTATACTTACTCTTTCCATCCATAGCAAGGGAAATAAACAGCCAAAGATCTTGTTATCTCCTGATGTCATTGCATCATAGCTAATAAATTACTATTTGAGATGTCTTAACAAAGCCTACTATTGTTTTACTTTTAAAACAGGAACAAAAAAAAGAGAAGAAAATGATATAAGAGAATGTAACCAAAACATAGAAATGAACAACCAGCTCACAAGGGAGGTTGCAATAGCACATCCAAGGAAGGAGAGAGTTACTCTCTCAATTTTGCCCTAGGCTGGCTGATGTCCAAGATAGAGAAGCATGTTCCTGGCCTGCTGCCAAGCTACAGGTCACCTGGTCCTCCTCCATGCAGGCTTTGTTGATCTGAAAGGGAGACCAGACCCAGGCTGGCCAATCTCAGACAGCCCAGAGATATTCTAAACAGAATGTCCAATCTGTATAACAGTGTGTTTTTGCATATATAACTGGTTGTTATTACTGGATAATAACTTTTTATTTATTTACCAAACATTTGCTGTATGTCTGTATGTGTCAGTCACTGTGTAAGGTTCTGTGAATGTTAGATGTGAATGAGGCAGTCTCAGCTGACCAAAAAGTTCACATTTACATAGAATCTAGATATATTGTTTCCTGTTGACAGCAGAAAAGGATCATTAACATCACCTATGATGGACACATCATTATATA